TAAATAAATGTAAAGTTAGGAGTTTTCTCATAGATGTGTGTAGTTCAAATATTACGTACCTTTATAGTGGTAAGTTTTTGTGAATTCTCTTTTTTTTTTTTTTTTTTTTTGAGACAGGGTCCCCCCTTATTTCAGGCTGGCTTTGAACTGCTGGAGATCCTGCCTCAGCCTCCCATGTGGTGGTGTCAAGATTATGGGGAGGGATGTGCCATCACGCCCTGCAATTAGTCTATTTTTGTTTTGTCAATCTCTGATAGATATTGCCTAAGCATATTAGTTGTAGAAAACAGTCAATGACTAAAAGCCTGAGGCAGTTTTTTAAAATCAAATTTTAGGGCCAGGTGTAAATGCCTTGTTTGAAAGCACAAAGTCATAAGTTCGATCCCCCTGTACATTCCCTCCCTTGAAAAGCAGATTTTATGGGTACATTTTAAATACACGTAACTCCAGAGGCTGAGGATGTAGCAAGTGGTAGGAATGCTTACCTAGACTGCTTGAGGCCCTGAGTTCCGTCCTAGGCACTGTAAAACAAACTAAAACCCACTCCAAATTGGAGATTTCCTCCCCTTTCTTGGGTACTGTTACTTTACTGTTAGGAAGTAAGTTATAGTGGGAAACAATAGTCAATGTTTTGAAGCCTTTTTTTGTTTTATTTTTATTGGCACAGTACATGTTTGCATTGCTCAATGATTATATTCGTGGTGGAGAGCTAATATATATACCTGGCAGATTTTAATTCTTTTTTATGGTCTCTTGCCTCTCTTCCCCTTGGATTTTTAAAGTCTTGATTTTTAAAAAATGTTATCTTGATTTTTAAAAAATGTTATCCTTAGGTTGACCAATGTTTAAAGTTTTTGGAGCTCTTTCCTCTCAAATTGTCAATTCTGTAAAAATAAAATTCAGACGAGGCGCTTTTGCTGCTTGTCAATAGTTCTGATGGAAGATAAAATTAGACTTTTAACTAAAAAGGCCAATAAGTGACTGAATTTTTATTGTTTTCTTTTTTGAGACTGGGTCTTGCTATGCAGTTTGAGCTTTGTCACCCAGGCTGGTCTCGAATTTGCAGTGATTCTCCTGCTTCAGCCTCTTGAGTGCTGGGATTAGTTGTGGGTCATCACGCCCAGTTTAAGTGGCTGAATTTGATTTATTAAAATTAGTGACCCACCTACATAGGAGTTGTAATATAGGATTGTCTCTGTATAAAAATTTAATTGGAGAGCCCAGAGTGGTGCACATCTGTAATCTAGCACTTGGGAGGCTGAGGCAGGATGATCATCGCAAGTTCAAAACCAGTTTGGACTACATAGTGACAGTTTTACCCCCACCCCCAACAAAAATAAAAACCAATTAAGTGGAGGCAAACTACTTGAAGGTGGTAGGTTTGTGATATCAGGTCAGTTTATTTGAGTTTAATAATCAGATTTCTTTACAGCTTTACATAACATACAATTAACTATTTAAAAGTACTATATTTACCAGCAGATGTGATAGCATAACATCTGTAGTCCCAGCTAGCTCCTGGGGCTGAATCAGAAGGACCACAAGTTTGGGGCCCAACCTAAGCATTTAAGCTGGACACTGACTCAAAAAAAAATTTTAAAAAGGCGGGAGGGGGGACGATGTATGTAGGTCACTGCATCCTAGGTTCAATCCTCAATATTACAAAAAAGCGAAAAGCAAGTAAACCAAAAAATACATATCAGAAAGAAACGGCATAGTCCCAGTTTTCCCTCCTGTTTCCTGTTAACACTATTCTACTTTCTCTAGGTCTTAATGAAGATTTACCTATCATATATTTCGTATAAATAGATTTCATGCAATATACATTGCCTCTTTCTCCCTCTCCCTCCTGTCCTTTCCCTCTTTTTTCCTATTCCCCCCCCCCCCACCAGGGTTTCACTGTGTAGTCCAGGGTGACCTTGACTTATCTCTGTAGCCCAGAACTCATGGCCTTGAACTCATAGTGATCCTCCAGCCTCAGCCTCCCAAGGTGTGTGCCACCATACCAAGCTTTACTTTTAATTTTATTTTTCAATAGGTTTTGTGTCTTTTTTTTTTTTTTTTTAAAAACAAACCTAAAGTGGGCATAGTAGCACACTCCTGTAATCCCATCACTTTGGGGCAGGAGGATCACAAGTTCAAGGCCCACCTAGACAATTTAAGTGAGATTATGTCTCAAAAAATAAACGCTGAGAGTGCAGATCAGTGTACAGGCCTTAGGTTCAATTCCCAGTACCAGGATATCACTGTGCAGTTCAGGCTGGCCTTGAGCTCACTTTGTAGCTCAGGCTGGTCTTGAACTTGCAGTGATACTCCTGCCTCAGCCTCCCAAGTGCTGGCATTATAGGCACGTGCCATCACGCACAGCTAGGTACCAGAAATTTAACTGATAACCTTGTGCTTGCCAGATAGGCTCTGTGCCGCTGAGCTATATATCCCTGGCCCAAAGGAACTGATTTTAACTTGTTTTTAAATAGATTGTGCATTCACAAGGCATAACTTTATAAAATGTCATAGAATATTTACCAAGCCACCTTTTTACCTTGGACAAAACCAATATTATTAGCTCCTTTTCTGCATTTCTCATGTTATTCTCTTTCAAACAGTATGTGTTTTCTTTGTTCTTTGGCTTGTATAAAATTTTTTTTGTAAGAAACTTAAATTAATCCACAACTCTTGATCATTTTACCCTTAAAATATCTAGGGAGAATATGTGCACCATAAAGTCAATGCATTGTCTTTTATTTGCACAGAATTCCACTTTATGGATATATCATCTTTTGTTTAATCAGTTTCTAGTCATAGCCACCCCCCATCTTTTGGTTTTATAAGTGAGAATCAGAATGAGCCTGTATAATTTATCATAAGTGTGACTGTATTTAAGATAAAGTGCTGTGTTATATGCAGTTTTGATTTTCAAATCGATCTATTAAATCCTGTCATTTTGTTTTATTTTATTTGTTTTTTTAGTACCGGGGATTGAACTGAAGACCTTGGGCTTGCCAGGCAGGTGTTGTGCTCCTGAGTTATATCCCTAACCCAGATTTCTGTCATTTTAGACTCCCAGGAGCAGGTTAGATGATAATGCTGGTTGACCTATGTTTGGTTTAACCACTAGTTTTTGATTTTTGTCAGTCTGATAAGTAAAAGTATTATTATAGAATGGTATTAATTTACATTTATTTTTTCCCCACCTTGGTTTTGGTGGGGAAAATTAAATCCAGGGTGAAGCACATGGTAGGTAAGCACTCTGCCAACTGAGCTACATCCCCAGTGCAATTTACATTTCTCTTATTTTGAAAACTGTGTTTTCTTAGCTACTGTTTTTAGATTCATAGTTATTTGGTTTTGTTGACCTGTAAGAAAGCTTTTATTTTTCCCCCTCGCAGTACTGGGGATTGAACTGAGGACCTCATGCATGCGAGGCAAACCCTTTGCCACTGCACTACATCTCCAGCTCTGAAAGTTTTTGCCTTGTAGGAATGAGTTATTATGATGCAAGTTACACATACCTTTTGCTGGCTAGTTGCTTTTAAAATTTTACTTTAGGTACTTTTGTCAGAATTTTAAAAATTTACGTAATGTTGAATTCAGCAAAAATGTTTTTATAGGGTTGGGGATATAGCTTAGTGGTAGAGTACTTGCCTAGTACGTACAAAAGCCATTGGTTGGTTCAATCCCTAGCACTGCCAAGAAAAAGAAAAAAATGTTGTAGGAAGATATGAGGGTGCATATGAATATACCTAACATTCTGGAAGACTGAGTCAGGAGAATGGCAAATTCAAGCCCAGCCTGAGGAATATAGCAACTTTGTGAGACTTGTCTCAAAAAATTCAAAAGAACTGGAAATGTGGAGTGTGAAGCCTGTGGGATCAATACCTAGTACAGATCCCCTCCGTCTTTTTGTTTTTATTGGCTTTTGGTTTTGTGTCTTACAAAAAATATTTGTTGAGGTCCTCCCCCCCCCCCAAGATTCATTTTATTTCAGGGAGGAAATAAAAAAAGGGAGGGAAACTAAAACAAAAAAAATTTCAAAACATGTCAATCAGGGTCAACAGTGGTATATAATATTGCTTATTGTCATCCCCAAATCATTCACCCAGAGCCCAAGACATCTGCATTCAGTTGTCCAAACAATACCAGCACAGATCTTTCTCTTTAGTGAACTCAGAGAAATCTGTAGAGATTTTTTAAAACAAAGTTAAATTTTAGTCATATCTAGAATTCTTTTATGTACACTCTCTTATTTTTCCAGTAAGTTCCAGTGATTTAGCATGGCTTATTTAAGTGTATATATTAATATGACAGTTTTTCACCTATTTCTGAAAGCATGTTAATACCATATAAAGAAATAGTTTTGTACAGTTAGCTGTTTAGATTGGAAGTAAAGTTTTTTCATTTATTTCAAAAGCAGTTGGCTATGTAAAGGAATCTTCTAGCAAATTGATGAAATATTTGAATCCTTTTAAAGTACAAGTTATCTCTTTAAATTTGTTTATCTTTATTTGGATTTTCTAAAATGAATATACTTTTTGTTGTTTTTTGCATGAAATTATTATATAGTGAATTTTTGAAAGGTTAGCATTATGACTTTAATTGGATTAAAATGAAGTTAAAAATGATCAGAATGGAACTGGATGTGGTGACGCATGACTGTGACCCCAGCACTCAGGAGGATAAGGCAGGAGGATCAGAGGATCACTACAAGTTTAAGGTCAACCTGGGCTCTACAGTGAGTTGAAGACCAGTCAGAACTTCATAGCAAGACCTTATCTCAAAAAAAACAAACAAAAAAAAAAAAACAAAAAAAACCCAAAAAAAAACAAAATAGAAAACTGTGAAAAAAAAATAGAATGATGAGTATTTTTAAAGTGATTGAAAGAACCACATCAAGCTTGTATTAGAAGAATTTAGGAAAATTTGGGGATGACAGTCATTCTTGTAGTTTTTAAAGTAAAATCATTAAAGATTTTGATTTTTAAATTTTTGCTTGTTTGTAGGATAGGAAGGCCATTGTGACTATGTGGTGACTACAGTTATTTTACTACTGAGTTTCCCACTGGAATCATGGAGGAGAAACAGCAGATTTTATTGGCTAATCAAGATGGTGGGACAGTGGCAGGAGCAGCACCTACCTTCTTTGTCATCCTAAAACAACCAGGAAATGGCAAAACTGATCAAGGAATTTTGGTTACCAATCGGGATGCTTGTGCTTTGGCTACTAGGGTGTCATCACCAGGAAAATCTAAAGGGAAGATTTGCCTTCCAGCTGATTGTACTGTGGGAAGAATCACTGTCACCCTTGATAATAATAGTATGTGGAATGAGTTCCATAATCGAAGCACAGAGATGATTCTGACCAAGCAGGGAAGACGCATGTTTCCTTATTGTCGTTACTGGATAACAGGTTTAGATACAAATTTAAAGTATATCCTTGTCATGGATATATCTCCTGTGGATAACCACCGCTATAAATGGAATGGTCGTTGGTGGGAGCCTAGTGGAAAGGCTGAGCCCCATATTTTGGGAAGAGTTTTTATCCATCCAGAATCTCCTTCCACAGGTCATTACTGGATGCATCAACCAGTATCTTTCTATAAACTCAAACTTACCAACAATACATTGGACCAAGAAGGACATATTATCTTGCACTCCATGCATCGCTACTTACCAAGGCTTCATTTGGTGCCTGCAGAAAAGGCTACAGAAGTGATACAATTAAACGGCCCTGGTGTTCACACTTTTACTTTCCCACAGACTGAATTCTTTGCAGTAACAGCATATCAGAACACTCAGATAACTCAACTGAAAATAGATTACAATCCATTCGCCAAAGGTTTTCGGGATGATGGGCTGAATAGTAAACCCCCCAGAGATGGAAAACAAAAGAACAGCTCTGACCAAGAAGGCAATAGTGTTAATGGTTCTCCTGGTCATCGGATCCGTGTTACAGAAGGTGAAGGATCAGAAATAGACCCAAGTGATTTTGATCCTATGTCAAGAGATCATGAAACATCAGGCAAGGGTTTGGAGAAGCCTCCCCTTAACATAAAGCAAGACTTTCTTGGTTTTATGGATACTGATTCAGCACTTGAAGTTCCTCAAATGAAACAAGAGATTTCTGAAAGGTATGTGTAATTATTTTTCTGTTCTTAAAGATTGAGATAGGCTAGATTTTAAATTTTAACACATTGGTCCTGTGAAATGCTACAGATGTTGGTAAATATAAGACCCTGTTAAAAAGAACAAAGCTGTATTTATGTTCTGTGAAGTATAATTTATTTCTCTAAAAGAAGTGTCATTTGGACTGAGGATCCAGAATTGTGGGCAAATGGGTTCTTTTACTTATTTATATTTAGAATGTTTCTTGGGAATATGTATAGACAATTCATGATTAATTAAGGAAGAAGAATCATAACAAATGAAATTTACCAAAATGAGGCACAAAATAGATAAAAAGGAAACTTAAATTGCCCAGCTAAAAAACAAATGGAAGATGATTACATATGAAAATAGCGTGATGTAATGCTTCTTTTTTAAAAAGCCTTATTTGATATAATGGAACCGTTGTACTCTAGGGCAGAATCTCCCTATTTCCCTTACTCCAGCACTATGAGTACTTTATGAATAGTTGGCAGTTCATTTGTAGTTAATTGTAGAGTCTGTGTGTATCTCTATCTGAGGTGCTTATAACTAGATGGTTCAGGTTTTGGATTCTTTTTTGGTACCGGGGATCAAACTTAAAACTTTGTGATTGTCAGGTGGGCTATGTCACAGAGAAACTCCTGGCCCTGTGTTTTGGAGTTTTCTAACTTTTAAATACTTTTATAGACTGCACTATGAGCATCTTCAATGTGAAAAGCTGCAAAGCCTGAAATACTCTAGAATAACAAAAGCTTTTTTGGTTTGTTGGAGGTCAAGAGTTCTTGATTTCTGCTTGATTTCTGGGCATGGTGGTAACACCCATGTAGTCCCAGCATAGGGAAGGCCTGGCAGGAAGATGGTGAATTCAAGGCCATCCTGGACTACAAAGCAAGACCCTGTCTCAAACAACAACAAAAACAAAAATAATGATTTTATTTTTATTTGAACTTGATTTTTTTTTTTTTTTTTTGGTGCCAGGTATTGAATTTCCGATCTCACATTTGCCAAGAAGGCACTTAACACTGCTGAGCTAAACCCCTTGATTCATTTTGAATGTCAGACTTCATGTTCAGAAGTAAATCTGAGTTCACCCTTTTCCTTTTGCCTTCCTTTTCTTGTTTGTGTACTTTGTGTGTGTACTTTTAACAGCTACTGGTCAATGAATTTAGAATCTCCACCCTCATGAAATTCCTAGCTTTGTGGACAAGTGTGTCCTCTGGTGTTTTTTTTTTTTTTTTTTTTTTTTTCGTTTTCGTTTTTTTATTGGTACCAGGGATTGAACTCATAACCACACACTTGCAAGGCAGGCGTTATGCCGCTGAGCTAAATTCCCAGCCCCTGTTTTTGTTTTTTTGAGCTTTATTTGTCTAGGTATTTATTATTTTTCCCAAATCCATTTTGTTTCAAGGATAAAAAGAAGAAAAAAACAAACTACAACAAAATTTCAAAAACACATTAATTAGAGGACAACAATGGTACATACATTGTACATTGTCATCCCTAAATCATTCACCCTATGCTATGGTTTCAAATGGCTTGCAGGATGCAAATGCTACACAGCATACAGAATTGTTTTTGTTGGGTAGGAAGGTTTTTTCAGTTTACACTTTTTACTTTTGGTAGGAGCAACTAGTGAATGCCTTCTTTAGTGCTTGATTCAGATTCTCCACCTGTAATTTAATCATATTGATCAACAAAATTTAAAAATATTTACACAGTTGACAATATGGTATGCTAATCCCCAGTTTACCAGTTACTATATTTTATATTCATTGTTCAAAAGTGGAAAATTGGCTGGCAGAAAATTTGTTACTAAAATTTCTTCGGAAGCCAGAATGCAAAGAAGTTCTGTTACCTGGAAGGTCCTGCATGTTTTAGCAACTGATGAGATTACATAAAAAATAGTTACTTTTCAGTAGTATGCTGTTGTAGCTTTATCTATAACTCTGATCTCTACTTTCCCATAAGACTAATTATTTTAATTTTTTGAGATGGCATCTTGCTATTTTGTCCGGGCTTGTTGTGAGCTCCGGGGCTCAAGTGATCTCACCACAGCCTCCCAAGTATCTGGGACTACAAGGCATGTGCCACCGTTTCAGCATAGATTATTTTCAAAGCTGTTAGTACCTTAGCTTAAATGTTTTCAGTTTTTTTAGTTTTATATCTGGAGCTTAAACTGATTCCTGCTTAAAACTTGTTCATGTCAGCTATGATACTTGTTCAGATTAGAAACCTGTACATCATTTTCCCTTCTATTAAGTCATTCTTCTGTTGATAAACATTTGGATTGTTTCTGGTTTTTGACTGTTATGAAGAAAACTGCAGTGATTCTTTGTTTCTTTCTTTTTTTTTTGAGACAAGGTCTTGCTATGCCTTGAACTCATTATGTAGTCCAGGCTGGTCTCTTAGTGCTCCTCCTCAGCCTTCCGAGGAGCTGGGATTTCAAGCATGTGCTACCACACCTGGCTTACAGTGAATATGCTTGTGCATGACTTTTGGTGGGCATATACACTAATTTTTTCATGTTTTATATTTGAAATAGAATTGCTGGGGTATAAGGTAGCCATAATTTTGGTAGATACCAACTTACACTTGAGAGTTCTTGTTTCTTCCTCATCTTTGTCGATGTATATATAATTAGCTTTCTTGATTTGAGCTGTTCTGGTATTGTTACTGTTATTTTGTGATACCTAGGGATTGAACACAGGGCTTTCATACTGAACAGTATCCACGGCCCATATATTTTGTTTTGTTTTGTTTATTTTTTTGTCTTTTTGAGAAAGGGTTTCACTATGCAGTTCAGGCTGCCTTGAACTCACTTTGTAGCCTAGTCTGACCGTGAATTCATGTCAGTCTTCCTGCTTTGTAGCCCAGGCTGACCTTGAACTCATATCAGTCTTCCTGCCTCATCTGGGATTACAGATGTGTGCCTCCATGTCCAGCCTTATTTGTTATTATGAGGCAGAGTCTCACCAGGTTGCTCAGGCTGAACTCAAATTTGTGATTCTCTTGCCTTAGCCTCCTGGAATGCAGGAATCACTGCATGTATACCAAAATACCTAACTTCTGTTTTTTTGATGCAACTAATTTCATAGTATGACTGCTTATTTCTTATGTTAGTTTTTATCTTTGTTCTATTTGTCTTCCACCTTTAATTTTTTGTTGTTCTGCTTTTTTTTTTTTTTGTCTTTTTCCTTTTTATGGGTACTGGGGATCGAATTCACGACTGCCTGCTTGCAAGGCAGGCACTTATGCCGCTGAGCTAAATCCCCAACCCCTGTTCTGCTTTTTTGAGACAGAGTCTTGCTGTGTAGTTCAGGCTGACCATGAACTCTTGGCACTTGTGCCTTCCTCAGCCTCTGGAGAGCTGGGGTTGCAGACATGCCACCACATCTGGCTTCCTCCTTTTTGTTCTCTTTCTTTCTTTCTTTCCTTCTTTCCTTCTTTCTTGTACCAGGGATTAAACTCATGACCTTGTGCTTGCCAGGCAGGTGCCTATACCACTAAACTAAATCCCCTGCTTCCTCCTTTGTTTTAAATTCATGCTTTTATGATTTTCTTTAAAACATTTGGAGAAAATATTTACCACCTTTTAGGGTTGCTCTTCTCCTTTATTCAGTTATTCACTGAATAACTAGGTGACTGAACACCTAATTTTAGGTAGTATTTTAGACCTCAAATTTCTGCATCAGTGGATCTTGTATATATTTGCAAAGTAACTATTCACAGGTTATTCAGTTTTTCGATGTATTTCATAATATTCTGATGCTTTCACATTTGGTTGGTTGGTTGATTGGTTGATTATAACTACTGTTGGTATACATCTTTTATCCCCATGATAGCACATCAGAGGCAAGTGAATGAGATCCTAGTATAGAGCAGTGCTGGCAAACTTACGGCACACATGCCGCAGTGATTGTTATCATTGAAAGCTCTAATGGTTCACCATCACTTGTATAGAGTAAATTACTCTGGTTTAATAGGAAAAATAATTCACAAATGCCAAAATTAGACTTTCATGGAAACAGTTTTGCAAAAATTAATTTTCTGTATCATGTAGAATTCTGCTTTTTTCCCCCCATATATGCTCATCCTAAGTCAGCTGTGTTTAAATGACTGCATTGTATAAGATGGATTTAGTCAGGCCGGTATTGCTAGATCTTGAGACTAAGATTTTTAGCCATTAGAAATAATGCTTCCATAAACTACTTATGCACAGTTTTTATACTCTTAGAAATATAAAGATTAGTTCCTAATAATGTAATTGAGGCAGAGGGATCCAGATTAATTGCTAAATCATATTCTCAAAGGTTGTAACCATTTAGTCCCATTCTTCTTGTAAGTTTCTGAGCCTGTCAATTTTTGTATCATTTTTGCTTCGGTTGTGATCTAAAACACCATCCCCACTAAACTGGTTTCCTAAATAGATTATTAATCCATGTCCTACTTAACAGACAAAATGATCTTTGGAGTCAAATTAAGTCATTTTCTTCAGAATAAATGTCCTTCAGTGGCCTTTTAAATTGCACTTAAAGACTGTTAGCTTATCACTTTGGTATTACACATCTTGTACCATACTTTCCAAAGTTTGTTATACCTTAGCTATGTGGATGTATTTCCATGTTAGACCCTTTCTTCTTCATATCTCTTGTTTTTATGCATTAGGTATTCTTTCTTGATTTATTGTCTGTATCTCTCCCCCTCCTTTTGCTTCCCCTCTTCCTCTCTTTCTTTTCCTCTTCCTCTTCTCTTTTTTCTCATCCTCTTTTTTCTCTGTTTCATTCTTTGGCCTGGAACTTGCATTCCTCCAGCCCCAGTCTCCTGAGTATCTGGGTCTATAGGTGTGTGCCACCACACCTGCCTTTGGTTTTCTTTCTTTTTGTGTTGCCCACTCTTGTTTTTTATTGATATTTTTCAGAGTATAGAAATACAGTTGAATTTTGTGTGTGATTTTTGTATTCAGTTTCACTGAAATTATTTAACA